TCATTTTTGTTTATGCACTGATTTTAATCATCAACGGATCGCCAATTGCTTTGAATTTAATTACACGAAAAAATTTGATTGTTTCGGTGGAAGCAGCTGTAAAAATGGTGCACAATGTTTACAAGATAGTAGTGAATGTCCAAAAACATCAATGTGTGTTTGTCCTCAATGTTACTATGGAGGACAATGTCAATTTAAGTCAACTGCATTTCGTCTCTCACTTGATGCCGTATTAGGTTATCATATTTTACCACATATTAAGATGATACAACAACCAACTATAATCAAATTCAGTCTGGCATTAACTATAATTATGACTATAGCAGGATTTATTGATGGTATTCTATCGGTGATGACATTTAAAGATCAAGAACTTCGAAGTAGAGGTTGTGGTGTTTATCTATTAGGATCGGCAATTACAACACTATTTACTATGAGTATGTTTGCATTAAAATTTTCAATACTCATTATTACACAAATGTCATACACTACAAATCGATCATTCCTAAATTTCCAATGCATTTCAATTGATTTCTTATTACGAATTAGTCTTTATATGGATCAATGGTTAAATGCATGTGTAGCCATAGATAGAGCAATTACTGCTGTGAAAGGAACTAGTTTTAATAAGAATACAAGTAAAAGATTGGCTCGATATGTAATATTAGCTCTTATATTATTTGTAATTAGCACAACTATACACGATCCATTCCATCGGAATCTAAGTAATGACAACAGTGATGATGATGGTGAAAATCGAATTTGGTGCATTGCTAGTTATTCTTCTGCAGTTAAAATTTACGATTCCTTCGTTAATATATTTCATTTTATTGCTCCATTTTTTATCAATTTAATTTCAGCAATAATCATTATTCGAACGACTTTTGTTTTACAAAGAAATGTTCATCCTAATGAAAGTTATCGCAAAATTTTATTTGAACAACTTCGACAGCACGGCCATCTTTTATGTGGATCTTTTTTCTTAGTTATCCTTGCAATACCACGTATAATTATTTCTCTTATTTCAAATTGTATGGAATCAATCAATGATCCTTGGTTATATGTCATTGGATATTTTATTTCGTTTATCCCGTCTACACTCACGTTTGTTTTATTTATACTACCATCAAAAAATTATAAAGGAGTATTTCGAAAAACGATTCAACAATATCTAACAACAATAAAGAGACATTTACATATCGCTTAGTAAAAGTCAAATAAATAACTCAAAATAATTTACAATGTATAATGTTTAGTCTAACAGCTTCTTTAGAACTATGCATCGATTGTGTCAATGCAAAATAATAATTATACTGCTTTAATCTTTTATGCTTTTTTTGTAATACTATTTTCTGCTTTTTATGTCAGTTAAAATAAATTTTATAATACACAATTCATTCGGTGATGATAAAATCGTTGAAACATATTTATTTTTTAATCTACAGAATTTGCATGGTATGCAATAATATATATATGAAAAATATAACACTTGATAGCAATACTAGAATCGTTTTGATAATCGCAATACGCATAATGAAAGCAAGTACTATTAGCCAAGACAAAACTGATGCGTTGAAAACGATCTATTCTCGATGCTTTTAAAGATTTGTTCTCAAAAGCAAGAGCAGGTTTAGAAGCCGCTATTCGTTTTCGTAAAAACGTGTCGAGAAGAACAAAGAGGTGGCATGTTTCACATTTGTAGTAAGAATACAATAAAAGACTTTCTCAAAGCTGTATGGGGTTTATAAATGAAAATTCGCTTATGTGGCGTAGTTATGTCTTAATATATCTCTTACCTATTGTACAAATGCTAATCTTTTTACCGTATGATGATGGTGAGTTTGGGTGGGTTGGCATGGATGTGCGTATGATCTTATTCTTTATAGTAGACAAATCTACCCACTTATCCTCGAATTATTTTTTCCAATAAACACATTTCCTTCTCTATGATGATTCAAGACTGACTGAATGTTGACAAAATTGTGCAATACCTGGTTTAAACGTAAACATATTATTTTATCATCTCACCATGCTAACCCACTACTGCACAAGATGAAAAAGAAGGATGTGGTATTGGTGTAAGCAAGTGTACATCATCAGTCAGTCGAGCACGCTTTCCCTCACCTACCCACACTCACACCCTGTAGATTGAGCTGATTTTCAAAAAATAAACACACCAATACATTCTTTCATGTCTCTATTGTCCTATGACTAATTTTCAGTCACGATATTTTATGCATGATTCATAAGTACGTGTTTTCTTGGAAATTTCATAGAAAATATGTTATTACATTTTCGATTACGTAACTCTTAAAAAATCGGAGAACCACCATAGTAATTTTATTTCTTTCACAATACAATGAAATAATATTAGTTGGAAATTTTTTTAAGTGACGCACAAAAATGTAAGCATTTACATTGTTCCTTCTATTTATTGTGTAAGATTTCATATGAGTCATGGTAGATGTCGACATTTGTATTGCTTTCTATCACTTACTATAAAAAGGCAAGATGGACAGAGTTAAGTTGCATTGCATTCTATATTTATCATTATGGCATGTTTTGTCCATAACCGACGATTTCTTAGTAAATTTCATGGTGCTATCAATCAATTACGACAATCAAATGAGTTTACTGAAGTTACATTACGACAACTTCCAAAACGATGTTGTTCATGTCCTGAAAAACAAAATAATACAACATTTTCAACAATAGAACCATTGTTAACATCGTTGAATATCGATGCATTACGTCTTGTATGTCTTCAAATGGAATTTAAAAAATATCTTACTACTAATGAATTACCATCACAATCAATGATTAGTAATTATACAGTTTTACATTTTCCTATTGTACTCGATTCAAAAGAACATATAAATCTATTGAATCAGTTCATTGATCTACAAGATCAACAACTACGTATTTTAAAACATATTCATCATGTTGATTTTCAATTTGTAACATCAACCACATGTGAACAATTACTATATGAAATTATTCAAATAAAATATAATTTATTAGTTAAATGTTCAAATTATCAAGAGGCCATTCAAGCTATCGATGGAATTTTGGTTATTATTTCAGCAAAAGATCAATTACATGCTGATATTGCAAAACATGCGCTTCAACAACAATGGTTTCGATTCATGAAAAAAATTGTTTGGTACTCTTCATGTACGACATATAATTGGCGACAAAATTTTCCTTCAAAAATCAAAATCAAAAAATCTTCGAATAAACAACAATTTAAGATCAAAAATAAAAAGATATTCAAAAAGAGAGGAACAACATGGCAACGGATGCAAGAAATAAATGAACTATCGGAAGAAGAAGAAGAGTATATGACTGAACAGTATTCAGATGAAGATGAAGAGATATCACCATCAATCAATTCATGTTTGAACTTTCTTAATAGTCGATTTGAAAATTCTAACAAACTCAGACGTCCACGGACTCATCGACGACAACATATGTTGGCTCTTGCTATCGCAGCTTAGATAAAACGTCAGATAAAATAAACCCGCACGATTAAATAATGTAATAATTTGTAAAAAAAATGTATGTGTTTGTTTTAATAATGTCATTTACTTCCGATTATGTATAAAAATATTTTTCAAGGTCTCATGCTTAGAAAATTGTAATAAACATCTAGTATTTACTTCACATAGCAATATGTAATTTTAACTTAGACAAATGATACTTTTTGATTCAACAGACCATTCAACCTATAATTAAAATTTTGTGGCCTTGTTTCTTCTTAATTAATACAGACAAGTAGTTTATATATATCGTATGACAATATGTCCTTGATTATAATTTATCCAATGAGCCATCTTATCTCCTGAAGTTTTTTTTTCAAAATGATAGTATGACTTTCTTAGAATTTAATGAGAATTAAAACTAATCATTATCAATCTGATTATTTTTCTATCGCAGAAGAAAAGATATGTATACTTAAAAAGGTTAACCTCGAAGAAACTAATGTTGTGACAAATCCTTTTTCTTTATATAAATAATGCAAATGTTCACTCGTAAGTTCTATTTTGATTCTATCATGCGGATATTTTTTCTTAACCCTTTGTCGGCGGTTAGCCTCGCATGGGACTCACAGTGATTCTCTATATAATCCTTGTGCGTTCCACAAGCGCAGTTCGATATACATATGTTCAGGTTTTTTCATTTCATTCTTGTTCTCTCATTACGTCATAGACGTCTAGCAAAAAAAGATAATTTAAGTTTCTAAAAATAAACCTCGCTGCCAAAGGGTTAATTATCAGAGAAAAGTATCTACAATTATAAAATAATTATATTATACTTCTTTTAAATCATCTGTAAAATCAGTTTCTAAATACTCAATTTGTCGTATGACTCAAATGTCTATGGAATAATTCAATGCAATCATAATAAAAAAGCTTTTCTAATCAAGTTTTGTTTTTCTATTCACGATCAAATGAATCATCCTATTAAAGACAAAATGTGTCTGGACAGTTTGTTCTAAACAAAATTAAATTTATTTTATTCCCTTGAGACATTTCATTCTAAACGTCTTAATAGAATGACTACTCAATTAAAACTGACACACGCTCAATTATATTGTTGATCTATATCTTTTTCTTTTTTTTATAATAATAAACATATCATATCATATATATATAGAGAATCCCTTGAGAAAAGAACATGACACATTAGATTTATTATTGCACTATTATAAAAGAAAAACAAACTGTACAACATTAAAAAAAGAAAGCAAAAGAATAGAAATCTGTCAAAGTATTTCATCTTCAAATGATCGACTCATTTTAACATAAGTTGATGATGATGAACTTGATAACGATGATGATTTATTATTTGATAAACGATCTGTAAATGTTGTTAAACGATTTGAATCATTTGTTGTCGTTGTTGATGTTGATATTGTTGTCATAGCTGTAAATTGTGGTGATGGTGATGATATTAATAATGTATCATTCTCAGCATCATCATTCAATGATGATGAAAATGATGGTGTTAAATTTGTTATTGGTTTATTATTTGAAGATTTTAATCTTATTTGTCGTTGTCGATAATAAATACAACAACAAATAAAAAGGATAATTATTATAAAACATGCTAAACTAATAAGAATAATTGAAAGAAAATAAATAAATGTTCGTTGATCAAGTTCTAATGATGATATTAATGAATAATTTTGACATTCAAATTCATCATAAACAATATAAACAATAAAATTTTCATAGGATGATGATAAACTTTTGAATTTTCCTCGATCAGTTAAATAAATATCAAATTTATATTCTTGAAATATTGGTTCAATTATTAATAAACCATTTGAAAGAATTCTTATACCTTTTGATGACGGATTTTTTAATGAATATATGATATTTCCATTTTCATTTTCATCTGGATCATAACCATCTAATTGTATTTCAATTGTTTGATTACTATTTGTTGTATTATAAATATAACAATATGGAGATTTACTTTTTAATATTGGTTTATTATCATTTTGATCAAGTATTAATATTTCTATTAAAATTTTATCGGTATAATATGAATCATTCGCAATAATATAAAATTGTAATCTATTTAATTGTTCACGATCAAAACTTATTTTTGTATATAAATTTCCATTCGATTTTAATTCAATAAAATTAGTTATTTGTTTATTATCATTTGAATCGATTGTATAAATAACTGTCGTATTTTTATCTTTATCTTCTGCTTGAATATGACCAAGATAGGTTTGATTATTTTGATTTTCTTCGATTTGAAATTGCGTAAAATTTGTAAGAAACTGAACTGGATTATCATTTAAATCATTGACATGAATTAATATTGAAATTGAAGTCTGATGTCCGAATGTATCTTCAGCTTGTATTGAAAATTGATATAATGATTGTTGTTCATAATCAAGACTTTTTAAAATAATTAATTGATTTTGTTCATTTAGCTTGAAGAGATCATTATAATTCTGTTCAGAATCAAATTTAAGTTGAAGAGTAACATGATCATGTTCATCGAAATCATCTACTTTTATTGTATGAATAGGAAAATTTTCTTTGTTATTTTCATTGATATAAAATGAATAATTTGTTGAATTATCAAATATTGGTGAACAATCATTAACATCAATTAAATGTAATTCAAATAGATTTCTAATCGATTGTTTAGGTTCACCATGATCATATACGAATAATGTAAATGAATAGTAAGAATTTTGTTCACGATCAAGTTGTATGATTGTTTTTAAAGCATATGTATTATCAGAAACTTTTTCTAATTGTACAACAGATGTTTGATTCATTGATGGTATTAATTCAATTGATACACGGCCATTTTCACCACTATCACGATCCGAAACCGTTAGATATAATATTGGAGTACCAACTGAAATATTTTCTAATATATAGATTATCGAATTATTTATCAATTGAACATCAGCTGGTGTAAATGTAAATAATTCAGGTGGCCAATCATTTTCATCAATAACCTTTACAAACAGAAATTGATCATAAAAATAAGAGATTTAGAATATATATTTTACCTCAACAATAACTGTTGCATATGTTGGAATCGCATTTAATCCTAAATCTTTTGCTTGTATTTGTAATTCATAATTATTTCTTTCTTCATAATCTAATTGTTTTAATAATGTTATTGAACCATTTTGAGAATTTAAATGAAATATTTTATTAATTGTAACATCATTTTGTGTCCATTTTGAAAATGTATATTTTATTTGTCCATTTAGGCCATCATCTGGATCAAAAGCTTTCATTTGAATAAGTTCAGTATGAATTGGACTTAATTCGGATATTTTAATAATTAATGGTGTTTGTTGATTATGTTGAAATATCGGTGAATTATCATTAATATCAGTTATAGTTAGAAGAATTTTTGTACAACATGATCGTTTTTGATTATCAATACCTTCATAAGCACAAAAATTAAATAAATATTTATCATGTAATTCTCTATCTAATGGTTCAATAATAATTAAAGATGGTCGTATTTGATAATCAAGACGAAATTCCGTATAATTATTTGATACAATTGAATAGGATTGAACATTATTTGGTGTTTGATCAGGATCATGTGCTATAGGTAAAATAATTCGTGTATTTAAACGTACACTTTCACTTATATTTAAATAATAAATATCATTTGAAAAATAACAAAAATTATCATTTTCATCAAGAATTAATATTGGTACATAGATTATATGTGTATAGATATCACTAAGAGCATTGATTTCAAGTTTAAGTATACATTCATTGAAACATGAACATATACCTAAACGACAAAGATCTTCACGATCAAGTGGACGTTTAACTGTTATTGTACCTTTAATATCATCTAACAAGAAATAGGATATAACGGATGTTCGAGTTAAAAATGTAAAACCCCAATTTGATGATGGTAAAATATTTAATAATTGTGTGATTGGTGTACCTATGGGAGATAATTCACTACAATTAACAGATGGTAGACGTATATAACGTGATTGAATCGAAGTAATAAAAATAAAAAATAGATAGACTATTAACCATAGCCACGAGCAGGACATAGCAGCATGGTTATTACATCAAATTAAATAAATAATATTTATTCTAAAATATAAAAAAACAAAAAAAATAATTGTCTTAAAATCAGATCAATATCTTCTCCATTATTCTCATGTAAATATACACATTTCATCAATAGTTTATCGAATTAACTTTTTTACTGTTCTTCATCTTTTGCTTATTGCTCGTTTTGACTATGACTATTATCATATCGTATGGTATCAACAGCTTGTACATATCTGTTTATTTTTTAAGTGTGTTCTTGTGTATTTTCTGTTTTTCTTTCTCGTTTGAACTTCGACCGCTAATTGACGAGATAGATGATCGTTGACTGACTGACTTCATACGTCTTCTATCATCTATGTTTTACTGACTATTCTAAACTATCGTTGAGATACAATGAAGACAAAAAGAACTAGATGAACATCGACATAATAAAGAGAAAAAAAAAGAAGAATTCATTTCTATTCCAGCTGATACATCGCAACAGATTTGTGACCTTTAGATCTTAAATTGACTATTGAAAAGATTTAGTTACCTTGATGATGAACCTTTAATAATGTATATATATATATATATATTTGTCTGATTCATTTGACATTTCTCTTTCACTAGTAGTACTACTACTACATTACTTACATAAGAAAATGATTCCAATTATATCTATGGTGAGAATTATATGGGATGATTTTTTTCTCTCTCTCTCTCTTCTTACTTTATGGTTGATAGTTATGATTATATTGTTAAATGTAGTGTTGTATAAGATGATTTTTTAATGATTTTATATGAATAAAAGAAAACGAAGATGAATGTCTTAAGATCATAATCAAGTTGATGCACGTTGAACGGAAACAAGACACGAACTATGACGGATATTTAAATTTGACATAGAGAATAATAGAAGCAAGAATGAACAACTAGAAGAAAACGGATGTGAAACGAAATCACTCGTAAAAAAAAGCGTTGATTGCACGCGGCAGCGTATGTTACTCGAGTGTGTAATTGTGAATAGAAAAGACGAAGAGAGGAAGAAATAGAAGAGAATGCGCGCGCGCAAGAGAGCGAGAGAGAGAGAGCAAAAAGGAGGAGGTAACTACAGCAAAGAATAAGAGAGGGTCTAATGCGCACGCGACATATACAGAAGAAAAATGATCGTACGTCTCGCGTTCAATAATTGATTTACACAATGTGGGAATCGTGATCGCGCGTACGAACACCATAGCACTAACTTACTGGACGTGGGCCGGAAAAGACAGGCATCTCTTCTTTAGAGCATGCTGTCGTAACATAAGAGATTTGTTTGCTATTCATTCACCCGCTTATTCATTCATTCATTCATTCATTCATTCATTCACTTACTTATACACTTTATATCGACAAGGACATAGGTCCGAGAATCAAAAGCTGCTATATGCAATCTTAATTTTCCGGATTTTTTTCCTCTTTCTTTCTTTTTTGTCGTTCTAATCGATATCTTGTAATCGTAGTGTTAAAAAAACTACTCTCATCGAAGAACTCTTTTCATCTAATATCACGCTTCCATAAATAGAAACACTTAAAATAGAAAACGGGGTGGTAAAAAGTTTCTCTTCTCCTTCTCTTTCTTTTGAACCGAAAAGACTGATGACACTCATTTTACGGAAGAAAATGCGTGCAAGTGCATGTGATAAAATAAATATATTATTTAAACAAATTAGACCCAACGGGATATTTGGCCTCGTCTTTCCGCGCACACTACTGGAGGGGAAAAGCATAGCATCTGCTTTTTTTTGTTGTTTTGATGATGTTCAAGAAAAATACTGTTTACATCTAATCCAAGATAGAAATCGGCATGCAAGCTTTCTGACATCTATTCATACATCCATATGTATCCTTTTTGATCAGATAATCATCCGAGCTGATTTTCTTTTCTTCTAGTCGCATGATTTGATACTTTTCTCTCGTTATTTTTTTTTCTGTGCTTGTGTGAATACGTCAAACTGACATTCTTTTGTCGAATTAATCAAGTATCTATCTCCACTTAAAATAATCTATATGTATATGACCGGCCTTGTTCTCTCGACTGGCATATCGGCCTATTAAATTGACCCGTAAGGAGAACTAATGACAACAATTTAAAATGAAGGCCATATGTAAGCAAAAAAAAATCAATCCCTCTTCACCGTCATCAAGATAGAATGATAAGAAGTATATGTATATGGTTTATTTGTCCCCTATTAGCTTTCCACTTTGCATTCACTTACCAATGTCGTAGATGTTGTCATGCGTCGTTTGAACGATTAGGCCTACAACTATATATATATATATAAATGCACACCAATATGTGAGTAAACAATGTTTAACTCGTCAAGTGTGGGTCTAGCGCTATGTGTTCGATGCTTATACTCTCTTCAGTTTTTTGTTCTTTCGATTTATAGTATTATCAATCTTTTAAGAAGAAGAAGAAGAGAATGCCACTAAATCTGCTGGATATGAGAGAATTGTTGTCTAAAAATGATGTATTACGATGCTACTATTCGATCAGATAGAAAAGATTGACAGACAAAAGTGATGATGGAGAAATCTTTTTTTATATGATTACATACATCTATTGAATTGAAAGGGATTCATTGACTACTCCTCCTCTCACGGTGTATATGTCCTCCTATGATATATATGTTCATCAACAGTAGTAATAGTGATGATGAAAAAGAAACAATAATACTACTACCAGACAACGAACGAGAAAGAGAAAGAGGAAAAAAACAGATTGATGTCTATCATCATTTTTTGCCAATTTTCCTTCTCTCATTTTTCTCTCTCTTTCTCTGTCTCTCTGTATTTCTTTCTTTAAGTAACAAAATAAAATAAAAAAAAGAAAAGAATAAAGAATTGGTCATTATATGTTTTGAAACATGTAGACGATTTGTCTGCAATTGAAAAAGTCAATAATGACTCTCTTAACTTCAGCTGCTGTTGAAACGAAAGAACAAGTATGTTGAATGGAGAGACAAAAAGAGCCTCGAAAGATAAACTAGTCAGAACTAACTCACCAACTATTACTGATACCAAGAACATGAACCCTCAAGAAACAAGAATAAATTACATTTTTCTTTTCTTTCTACTTCAACTTTTATCCAGAACATCAGAGATACATTGACAAGCAGACGTTATACACACACCTATATATATAATATATCGATATGTGTGTGTATAGACACATAAAATAATTCACTTTTCAGCATGAGTCTGCATTCATGTGCATAAATCCAGATTCGATCAAGATCAATAGTTGATGGTCAGTTTATCACCATGACATACACACAACAGAATACATGGGCTATTGACCTCATTGTTACTTATCATTGTCTTTTTTTCTTTCTTTTTCTGATGTCCCGATAAAAATGACACGTGTGTCAATATCTCGTCATTTATATACTATCTCATTGCATCATCATTAATATTTAAGTGATGAAAATAGCCAGTTGTCTTTATATTATATATATTTGTATATACATCAATTTTTCTTCTTCTAACCATAATTCCGGTGTTAATGCGATCTAGATAAGACAACGCGCATATATTTCACATTATTTTCACCTCTAGTTTCTCTCCTCTAATGTCCATTTCCGTTGTCCAAGTGGTTAGTTAAGATTCATATAAGCCCAAGAGGCGCCGGTCATTCTACTCATCGGTGCGCGAATAGCACGTCTTCCGTACTCAATCACATTTACTTTCACTCTTATTGCTTACGGGCCTTAGTCCAAATAAAAAATGACGATGATGATAATGATGATGTACAAAATAATAGTGATGAGTACAATTAGACTTCGTTCTTATTAATTTTAACGAACAATACATATATATACCTATGTATCAAGGGACATCAAAATGGAGAAAATGAATCCTGTCGTTGTCACTTACATGAACTTCATTAGAGTGTGACGTAAGATGAAGTAAAAAGATAATGAAAATAGATATCAGGAAGCCTGAAAATGAAATAAATTGTGTAACATTTTTCTACTATCTGATGGTCATCTGAACCGTCTACATATATACATGTATACGTGGTCAAGCCTTGCGGGCAGCCTTCATTTTTTTTTAATACAACAGTGTAATTAGATCGTCGTCTGTCGATAAGTGAATCATTTCGATTTCCAATCGATGCACGTGTTACTACTATTACAAATTCTCATATTTAATTCATTCAAGACGAGTTGGGTGGAGTAATGAATTAAATCAACTGGACACTGGACATCTATACAACATCTCAATTAGATAGGCACCAGCAGTAACACCAGTAATAGTAACACACGATTGTCAATTCATTTTAACGATTGAATTAGATTTTGCTTGGCGAACAAATGACACACACACACACACATGTCACATATCTCGTTTTACAACAACAGCACACAACAGAAGAAGAAGAAGAAAAAATAGAACGTCTGGCATTCGAGTGTGACTATTGAAAAACTATGTACATACGCGCATGCGCACGTATATGAAGACAAGAAAAGATAGAATCATAAAAAATGAGAATTATATACAAGCAACTATTTTGTAGTTAATTTTTGTGACATACATCATGACAACAGTTTAGTTGGCATCCAGTCTAATTAACGATCACGAAATAGGCATACCAATAGGGACAGTATAACATATAAACATACAATCTATTTGTCGTTGTATGATCGAAGGACATAACACAGACGTCATTATGTTAAATTGTGTCACACCTATTCTTTGTCTTAGTAATATGAAATTTTTTCTCTTGTGTTTCATCATACAGTAGAAAATTATGATGAAGACTATCATTATTATCATTGATTGTTCTCTTTTATTATTTTGTAGATGACATCATCGTCATCATCATCATTTTTTTTATATAACTTCATAAAAAAAAGTAACTGGACATATAATAATAGAAGACTAATATATAAATAGAGAACAATTCCCGTCATTTCCGATTTTGACATATTTTCCGGTAGATAACCTTCTACAATGTATGTTCTGATTGTACTTACTTGAGTTTTGAAGTAGTGGTCAAGGTAATCATATACATATCTATGATTTCATGAAAGAATTTTATCTACAAATACACAAAAAAAATGCTACGATAGATATGAAGACTCTTTATAATATTCTCATACCACTCGCTTTTTTTTCTTACAAGTAGTTAATGGATTCAATAAGAATAAGTGATAAAAATGAAAAGAATAACCTTCTTTTCTTATAAATGTAACTATATATTTCGACTCATATTCCTTTGAAATATTTTTGTGTAATGAAGTAAAAAATAATTTCCGGTATGTTAGATATTGTAAATAAACGCAACTAACAGAGAGACGCATCGGAAAGATATAATTCCATGTATAAAATGTTTTTTTTTGCTCTTTTATAAAAAAAAAGCTTTCCGCAAGAAGTACAGAACATCAAGTAAAGAAAAAAAAAAGAAATATGTCTTTGAATGAATATTATACATGAGTAGATTTTCTCGTAATACTCTTTTTATGTTGTTACTTATAATCGGGTTAAACGATATTAATCTTTTATAGGCTCATCACATAGGCTGTAACAAGAGATAATAGGAATCGGATAACCTGGGAAAAAAATATAACAAGAATGTTTCATCTATTTCTGGCACTTACAAAGACGTTTATCATTTTTTATCGTCAATGACTTTTGATAAACGATGTCATTTTTCAATGGAATTGAATGTAAATAGTAACTGAATAAATTGATTTTGTCAGTAAAATATATTATATTAATTAATGTTTATAACTTAATTTTCTTTTTCTCTTCTCTATTCTAGTTTTTCTCACCTTCTTCTTTTAGTCTGTCTATTCAGACAATAATATGTTTTGCTTCTAACACTACCGACTATATCTTCTAATGGATCAAATTATCTAATTCATATAAAAGGAAGCGACCTTGGAGAGTAATATAAATATGTTCTATAACTATTCTCTTGTGAAAATTGTAAACATTCATTATGAAAACCATTTGTGACGTGTTTTTGACAACACACATCGAAGTAGCGTTTATGTATATTTTGTAATAAATGAATTAGAAAATCATAAATCTGTCATATTGACGTCTGTATAGAATTAGAAATAAAAGTAAATTGTGATTGACATATTTAACATGCCTGTTTTCATAAAGAATTTATTTACAACTTGATAGAATTAAAATGACTTATTTAGATATAGAACAGTAACGAGAACAAGACAGACAGATCACATTTTTATCAATATTTAAATATATATTTTTGATAAAATAGTATAAAGCAATTCAAGAATAGAAATATCATTTATAACGTATGAATATAGAAAAGAATTTATGTATATTAATATTAGTTTTGATTAACAAAAGATTTTTTCAAATGATACATTTATTTCTGCGGAAAATTTTGAAAAACAAATCTTTTCCATTGATTACTGATTACTGTTATTTTATGAATAGAAAATGATGAAGAATATTTTCTCAATCAATTAGATCATTAGTCTTTTGACATTTTCATGATAAAACACTAATAATTCTAACCTTTTACCAGTTAATACCATACATTTCCATCAACTACTATGACACAATAACCTATATGATTTAAAAATCTCAATACCCTTCTGATCTACATATTCTCATAAATACTATTATTATTATTACAGATGAAATAAATTATCAGATTCTTTTCCTCTTAAACTTCCAATATAAAAGTACATTATTATTTATTCGTTTCTCTGCATATCTTTATACACTAATCATATATATATAGATGAAAATGTTTTATTTTTATGCAATATTGTATTTATTATATCTGACAGCAATTGATATTTATCTATGATTTGAAAAATAAATACATATGAAGAATATTGTTTATGATTTGTATGAATATTGTGACAAAAAAAAGGATGATTTATTTTCCCATTGAAAACACGATTGCTGACTAGCGACGCCCCTAGATTTTGTTTTAATCATAATAAATGTAACATAGAACGCAAAAATAGACTACTTGCATAATAAATTATTCGTTTATCTCACCTTATTTATCTTACAGTCACTCTTTCTATGTATTATTGGTATTAATAGCCAGACAATTAAATAATTTATAAAGGTAAAAAAGATATTTTATAATCATTGTACTCATTTTAATTGATTTTTGGACCATCGGAATACATAAATATATTATTTTTTTATATGTGCAAGAAGAAAGACAAGTCATGTTTTTTTCCATTGTAAAGAAAAGAATAGAGAGGAAGAGAAGAAAAAAATAAGCAGAAGAAGAAAAAAAAATAGAATAAAATTTAAATTAAAATTCGATTTAAAATATAATGAATAAAGCGCAAACGCGTATTTACACATTACATACAACAAAATTTGTTTTTTTTGTTTGTTTTTTACATTAACAAAAAAAAAAATACAAAGAATTCATCACATATAGTTGTTTGCTGTTACTAAACTATTTCGTTTATTAGTTTTTGTTTTCACTGATTCATTCGTTTGAAAGTAAATAACCTTTACCCTTACTCATCGAATTTCGATTGCCAATATGTAATGAACGTCTCAATGTATCGAATCGTTGACCGAGAGTAAGTTTTTTCATATTGATTTCATCTTGATCATCAAAATGCTGTTGATGATCAAGATCTTCATCAATACAATTTTGTATTTGTAGTTGTTGTTGTTGTTGTTTTGCATGACGTTTTTTAAATAGAAGAGATATTTGTTGACGAAATGATCGATTAAATTTGATTTTTTTCGTTGATATATTTTGTTGTTGTTGTTGTTGTTGATCGTTTGATGATGAAACATAGCCAGATTCAGAATTTTCAGTTACACTAAGCGTAGACAAATTTTCATTGGGTACGGATATTCTAAAAATAGAAAAGAAAAATTATTTATTTGTCAAAATAAAAATGAATCATAATAATCATACGAATGATTCATATGTGTTGGTGCTAATGGTGCTTTTCGTCGTTTTTTTGGAGTTTTTAATTTATCTTTTTCATCTGTGAATATTGGTTCTGCTGGTAAAATCATTGGTGATGTGAGGCCTGTCGTTATTGGAGATAAAATTACAGGCATGGGCCGATTTTCATCATTTGTATTAAGTATTAAACGTTTATTTGAATTTGTACTTTCAAGTCTAGAACGTCGTGTTAAAGTACCTCGAAATGATTTACGAATTTGATCGGCTAATTTATTGAGTGGACGTGCTGGAGTATTGATATTAGGTGATAATGCAAATGGATCATTATCGGCATCATCATCTTCATCATCATTAATATGATTATTATAAGGAAGTTCAGAGGTTTTTGATTTCGTTCTAGTTGGTGATGATGCAGGTGGAGGTGATGATGAATAACGACGTCGTCGTCCTAAAAAACTTTTTGATTGATTTGATTTAACTAAATTGGAATTGGAATTTGAACCACCATTTGGTTCAGTAGTACGTGGATTAACATGATCATCATCATGATTTTCTTTTCGTCGACGATAACTAAATGATTTACGTAGGCTATATTTCATTCTTAAATAAAAAAGTACAAAATCTTATAGTTTCCTTTTTATAAATTATTCATCCGTTTGACACATTAAGTAACCTTGAACAATTTTTTTTATACGTAGCATAAGAGAAAAAGCGGAGTAAGACAAAAAACATGACAATCACTGCATGAAAAAAAAAGCGAGTCATAGCAAGGTCACTACTATTTTTTTCTTTTCTCGGTTTTTTTTCTCGCTCTCTTTTATTCACATCAAATGAAAAAAAAATATATATACGTGTATATATATACTCCTTATAAATTAGAATGTAAGTAAAAAAATGAGGAAAGACGGCGAACAAAAAGATGATGGAGAATAAGAAGAAGATGCAATTGTAGCAACACGAGCAACTGGAAAACATATACGATGTGTGCACCCGAAGTAATAATTTAGATAACAATAAAAAAAAAAGAAGAGAGAAAAAAGCGTAGGAGAATAACGAGGATTGAAGAACGTAAACAAAAAAAGGAATGAAGAAAAGATCTAATATGAAAACACTAAGCACGGAACTCGTTATTTCTTTATTGAAACAGTAACAGCGCGAAGAATAACAACAGTGCAACATGTCATGATTGTCGCATCTTAGAATGAACGCTTCTCGTCTCTTATATTCTTCATTCGAGCATAAGAGGGAAGGATCAATGAGGCAAATGAGTATAGATGAAGAAAAAAATAGAAAGAGAAGAAGACGAAGACGGGAATAAAAGCATATTTTCAATAGGCTAAATGAATATGGTGTGATGCGTGGGCATTTAAAGACACCTATATTTGATTTGACTCCATTAGTGTCACGTGAAAAAAAGAAAATTAAATTAGAAGAAAAAGAGATGTGTAGAATACCGCATACTTATCTACAATTGGTCGTTAAGCACGTCCTCATATAGTAAACAGGCAACTATAACGAACGAAAGAAAAAAAAAATAAACTATTTTTCTTTATATTAACAAGTCAGAAAATCGATGTACATCTAAACGTAATATTTTCTTCTTTTTTTTCTCTTCTTCTTCGTTCCTACAATCATCTGTCGGCCGTCTTCTTCATCATCATCCTATCGATCAGATGGAAATGACAGTTGTCCTTGTTGCTTCTCTGTCGTTCGTCGTATTTATAGAAAAAGGAGAAAAAGAGTGTTGGATGTGTGTATATATACATATAACTATCTCTCTCTTTCTCCGTCTAGATATCTTTTGAAACAAAGAAAGTGTTGATCATATACAAGATGTCATTTGGTATTATATTTTTATACTACAAGATATTCTAAATCATCTAGTATATTGAATTATATATTCATCTAGTTAACTGATAATTTTTGTCATCAAATTGTATTGTACTGGTAAAATCAAAAACATGAATAACGACAAGTTTAACGAATAAAATTCGTAATATATTATCATTTTCAATAATAACTCAATAAATATCGAAGTTTATCCAATAAGAAATACTTGATTGAGCAATATTTTGTTATATATAAGAAGAGAAAAAAAAAAGTTGTTTATAGCTTGTGGAAGTTGTTGAAGAATATTTCTATTCATGGAAAAAGAACCGGTTTCTTTTCTTCCTGCAATGAGTTTTGACTAACACAATCAGTAATTGAATAAATGAGTTTCGAGAACTATATTCGTATCTAAATATAGTTTAGATTAAAAACTCCAGTAAGCGCGTACAGAAAGAGAAAGAATCGTAAACGATGGAGACATCATTGTGTCTAAATGTATCAATGAGATAAAATCAAAGTAAATGGGTTTTACTTCATTGAATCACAAACTCAGATATGTACTTAACGCGAGATCGATAAAGCAGATAGTATTTTCTGTATAAGAAAAGAACAAATATATATTGGTTAATAGATGAGTAAATATTTTCTGCATTATTAAACGTTGTTTGAAAAGTAGTCTAATCAATGAATAAATCATCATACAAAAAATTGAATATCTAATTTACAATTCAAAAGAAGAAAGAACATTAAAAAAATCACATATATATTTTATTACTATTTGACATTTTTTTTTATATTTTAAAAGTGAACTCTCAAGGGAATATGTTCTCATGAGTACAATAAATCCATCATAAAATATTTCTTGCTTGTAATTGGTACATTATTTTTAGATCTATATTATCATAATCATCTTTTTTTAAAAATCTAAAATGGCAACGTCTAGTAATTCATCATCCGTTCCAAATTGGGCTATGAATAGCATCATATATGGTTCTAATGATTCTTTTCTATTGTTAGATATTTTTCCAACAGATGTAGCTGATGATTTATTTAATAAATTACGTGATGAAATAACTTGGAATGAAATGCGACAAAAAGGTGGACGTGTTCCACGTGATATATCTATTCAAGGTACATTACAGATTGAAAATGGTGATGAATACGAACCACTCTATCGTCATCCAGCTGATGAACAACCTGAACTTATATCATGGACACCAACAGCATTATTAATAAAAGAACGTATTGAACAAATTATTGAACAAAAATTAAATCATGCTTTAATACAATATTATCGTAATGGAAAAGATTTTATTGGTGAACATTCTGATAAAACATTAGATGTATTAATTAAATCAAATATAGTTAATTATAGTTTAGGTGCTGCACGTACAATGATACTTAAACATAAAACACAAAGTGGTTTAAAACAACGTTTTAAACTTCCACATAATTCATTATTTGTATTAGGTTGGCAAACTAATCGTGAATGGTTTCATTCAATTAAACAAGATAATCGATTAGATATGGATAAACATCCTGATGAATTAGCTTTTTCAAGTCAACGTATATCTTTAACATTACGTACAGTTGCTACTTTTCGTAATCGTTGTACAGGACAACTATATGGGCAAGGAGCAATTAATAAAACATTTGAACAAATGTCTAAAGAACAGATAACGAATGAAGGTGATGAACAAAATATGTTAATGGCATTTAGTGCTGAGAATAAACAATCATCAGAATTCGATTGGAATCATCATTACGGAGCCGGTTTTAATGCATTAAATTTTAAAGTTTTAAACTCTATTTTTCTCGGTGAAGAAAACAAATGAAATAAAAGATATATAAGATACCATTACACATCCCGAAATAAAAAAGAAAAGCAAAAAAAAAGCAAAAACTGATCAGAGAGAATAAGAAACTGAATAAAGTTTTTTTTTGTTCATCTATGAATTATGACTAACAGATGTTGAACTTGTTGTTGATGTTGTTGGAACATTTGTTGTTGTTGTTGGTACATTTGTTGAATGATTATCATCAAATGCATCGAGTGTATTTCGTTTAAATTCTTGTAATGTACTACTTAATTTATTGAAATCATCTTGTTTTGGATTTGTTAAAAATTCATTAACATCATATAAACGTAATTTACCTTGATCATCACCTAATATAATTTGTTGACCATTATGTGACCATAGACATTTATTAAGTGCAACATTTCCATCAAGTGTTGTACTTAATAATGGTAATTCTGAATCATGATTTAAATTCCATATATCAAAACGACCAGTTATATCGCATGTTAAAAATACACTTGGATGTACAGGTGACCAACGTACATCAGTAACATAATCACTATTAACTTCAAATGAATTCAATGGTTTATTTTCTTTTAAAGACCATAATTTAACACTCCAATCAAATGAAGATGTTAAAAATAACGATGAAAAATCAACTGAACCATTTACATTATGACAACTTAGGCCTGTAATTGGACCAAAATGTCCTTCATAACTATCTTGAATACCAGCTTTATTTCCATGTCTTGAACCTGAATAAGCTTGACCTTCTTCACTACCAATAATAAAATTATTAACTTCAACACCGGGAAATACCATTCGTGTTGCAGCAACAGGTTTTGTTCGATAGGCTAAATCCATACTTTCTTGTGGTTGAGTCATCATTTCAATATTCCATGAACACATTTTACCTTCATTCGATATAGATATTAAATTATTTGCATTTTGTGTACCAATAACTTGTAAACAATAAACCGGATGTGTATGTGATGAGGCTGATAATGCTGTACGTTGTACAGGTGTTCGTTTATTTGTACGTGTATCCCAAACAACAATTTGACCACTATATGTACCACCTAAGACAATATTTGGATGAAATTTACTAAATACACATGATGTAACCCATGATTGACAATTGAATACATACTAAAATTGATAAAGATGAAAGAAAGTTAATATCCAAAGAACAAATCTATAATTTTCTCTACAAGACATTTCAATCATGTAATCAAGAGAAAAATAATGATGAGTATTAATTAATTATTTCATTCATATAAATTCATCTCATTTTTCTAATAAACCATCTATTAATAGATACTCGTCTAAAGTTTCTTGAATATTAATTATAACAAAAAAAAAAGATTTTTCATATCTTCTAATTTGTATTTAATAGGTGTCTTTATGGAAAAATAATCTATTGAGTTATTTGTTATTTTCTTTAGAAAAAAAGTCAACAAAATTTTGTTATCACAGATTGTAAATTATGTTACATTGATTGATGATCCTGGCAGCTGTTACTTGCTCTTCAAACATGTAGTTTTTTTGTTCTATTTTAAGGACATGTATCATTCCAGTACTTTATATAGTTTTTTTCTCGTTATATGAAATCAAATTGTTGATCGTATACTTTTTTAATTTAATACAGTAAAAATCTTACTTCAGGTGTTGGTTTTGATTTATATTTTGTATTCCAAATAAGTACAACACCATCCGATTCATGTGTTGATTCATCATTTTGTGAATATGATGCAAGAACTAATTCTGGATGATAAGTTGATGTATCAATACATGTAACAATACGATGACGTGTCCAACGTTCATCAAAAAATTCTCGATCAAATTTAATTATTTCTCCAACATCCATTTTTTCATTTTGTCCATCTAAATCTCTTCCACTATAATCTTTAAATATATCAAATGCACGTGGACTTTCCCATAATGAACGTTCAATTAAACGTGATGAACGAGAAAAGAAATCTTGAAATTGTTCACTTTTTATTATATGTTCACGTTCATCATTCGTTAATTCTTGTTTTATCATTGATGATTGACCTTGTAAACTTAATTGTTTATTTTGATGTTTAAGTGAACGTGTACGTTTTAATTCTGTTGCTGATGCTAATGACATACCCATAGATGGTTTTGTATTATCATCTAAACTCATTGTATCCTCATCATCAGTAACATAAACTAAACGATTATGTTCGCCTGATGCTGATGGTTGAAATTCATCATCCCATTGTAAATGATCATGTTGAATTGGACTTGCTGCTGGATCTTTATCACCAGATTCAATTGTTTGTACTTCTTTCGAATAAGTAACTAATTCTTTTGGTGGTACACTTATTGTTGCTGTTGTTTGTTGACATATTTGTAAAGCCATATTTGTTGGTGGTCGACGTTTTTGTTGTGATGTTGTTGAACCTGGTGATATTGATGGTGAACTTGCTGGTAATGATACTGGTTGACGAATACCAACTTCTTGTAAGATTCTATCTGGATCAGCATCTTCTCTTGGTGTTGTTAATAAATTAATTGGCATGGAAGAAAGATTAGGTGTCATTGGTGTTGTTGGAGCTGTTCTTAATTTTTCTTGTTGAAGTTTTTTTTGACGTATTTCTTCTAATTTAGCTCGTTTAACTTCAAGTTCAGCTTTACGTTGTTCGTTCGACATTGCTAATACTTAATATATATACGATATGACACAAAAAAAAACGAATCTGAAGGTAAAGAAGAAGAAAAAAAATGCATATAGTAAAAGAATAGTTAATAGACTGGCAACATATGTTTTTATTAATATATATATATATTTATTGTGTTTTTATTCAGTAGAAATTGTGAGCAAAACATCATCTGACTATGGGGTGTAGAGGATGTGAAATATTCTCGACAAAGAAAATATTGAGCATTACATAAAGATCAATACAAAACCGGACGAAAATTTGAGATTGGTTAAATATAAATGCTAAATAAACGATTGTCAAAAAAAACCAATAACAACAATAACATTCTCGCTACAGAAAAAAAAACAAGCAAACAAACTAATATTGCCAATAAAAATTGTGAAAAATACATTCGAGCAAAAAAAAATCTATCTGACTACTAATATTTAAAAAATAAAAAACGGAAGAGCGAACATACGTGTGTAAATAAATGATTTTAAAAAAAACAGAACATGCACTGTTATAAAAAAAAAAAAGATGAGTTTATTTCACTGATTGATTGATTCTACATCTACTAAAGGTTCATTCATTTTTGACGAATATTCATCTTCATCATCTTCAACTGGAAAACGTGCTTCTTCATCTATATCTGATTGATTGCCAAGATTATTTTGTGTTAAATCATCATCTTCTTCATCTTCATCAATATCTTGATCTTGATTATCAACAGATGGTACTTCAGGTATTGAATGTATTAATGGTTGTGTTGTTTGTTGTGATTGATAATTTTCATCATTAAATGAATTTGTTGCTGATGATGGATAGAGCATTTGTTGACGAGATGTTTGTCGAAGAAGAATTCGTTGATGTTCATCACTTGAACTATTCGTTGTTGTACCATCAAGTGTAAGTGTAGTTGGTTTCTTTTTTAATGGTGGTGCTTTTGTTCGTTGAAAAAAGCCAAGCTAAGAAGAAGAAAAAAAGAAATTTTATATTGCAAATTATTAAAAAAAGAAATTTAAACACAAAAAACACAACAAATACAACGAGCAAAGAAATATACCCATTGTGAATTTTTTTTAAAAAGAATAAAGAAAATTCAGAGAAGAGGAGAAGATGGTGGTCGAACACGTTTAAAAAAGCCGACCTAGATATGAGAAGATGAATAATATGAATTTTTTCATGTTTCTTTTGTTAAAAAGAGTATTCTTAATAAATATTAAACATACCAAACAACAAACAATAACAATAAAAATAAGTAAAATAAGGCCAGCCATAGCTCCAACTAATGGAACCCAAAGTGGTAAACGAGGTACAATAATTTTATCAGATTTATTAGCAAATTCTACAGGTGTTGTCGCCTAAAAATAAGAAAAAAATCTTAATTATTCTTATATATTTTTATTTACTGTTGCATTATCATTATCAGTTGATGATTGAAATATAAGTGAATCATTAATATGTATTGATGCAAATGATTGTATATCTACACGATCATATTCATTCATATATTCTTCAATTAATGTACTATTCCATAATCGAGCACGAAGTTTAATAAGATAATAACTTTGTGCCGAAAGACTTTTAATATGACAATAAATTGGATAACAACGAACATTTTGATAAGCTGGATCACATGATAACGTTAATCTACGTATTACAGATGATACAGGTGATGCTATTGTCGCTGTTTTAGAATCAAGAACATTGTCAGAATTTTGTTCATCACGACGTGTTCGATTATTCATTGATGATCGATTAAGTGAATCAAGTATATGTATATGATCACGCCATTGTGGCCATCGTTCACAATGACCATCGATTTTTGCACCTGTACTTGACAGTGTTGCTGAAACTTCAATAGTTGGTTCTTCAACAAGATATAATAGAATTTTTCCATGTTCCCATTGATTATTTAATGTTTCATATGGCCAAAAAATTGTTACATTATGTGAACGTACATTATTTGGACCACTATTAATTATCTAAATATAGATTTCTCTTATGTATATCATTCTTTTTTTCAAAAAGAAAATATTCTTATGTCTTACTGTATAGGTATGTGTAACTTCCATTCCGAATTGATCAAGATTTTTAATTGAACTTAAACCCATTGTTCCATCACCAACAAGTGAAATTTGTTCTGGTTCATGTGATGCACGTAAACTTAAATCTGTTTTTAATAAAACTTTTGCTATTAATGTAACATTATTATTATCCAAATTTGTTTCATTTGTTAATGTTGTTGAATTAAAATCAAAACGTAGAATATTACTTAATGCTACATTTGATAATGTAAATATAAGTTCGATTGTAGAAGATCTGTTTGCTGGAAATGGATTATTGAAAAAATCAGTCATTTTACATCGAACATGATTGCCATCTAGCGGATGACATGAATAACTTTTTTCATCCTATTATGAAATTAAAAAAAGAAATAAAATTATTAATTAAAAATAGATATAAATATTAACTATGTTTGCTTGTGAAAATTGAACGAATGCTGTTGGAAAATATACATCGATTTTTGTTCCAAATGCAGGATCAGCTGTTCGATGATTTGGGTCTGATTGTATATTAGTTAACTGAAGACGAATATGTATTTCAGAATCAATACCAAGTACAGATAGATTTAATGCTCTAAATAATAGAATAGAATTTAGATGATTTTAAAAAGTTATTTTCTTTTTTCTGTGACTGTGAATAAAAAGCTTTAGGCGTGTAATCTTACGAATCATTGTAAAGTATTTTACTTTTAAAAATGAATATAGATTAATAAATCAGAATGATTTTATTTGTTTTTTTAATAGGCAAAAACAAAATTCTTACTTTTTTTCAGTAACAAATTCAGCTGTTAATTGAAGATCAGTTACACATCGATCATTATTACCACAACCTTTGTAAAAATTCGCCTAAATTAATTATCGAAAAAAAGTAAATTATTTTATATTCTAAATAATTTACTTGAAATTTATTTGTTCGTTGTTCTTCAGTTGCATTTATCATTGGAATACGTCCTTCATGAAGAAATGGTTTTCCTCGAAGATCATTTCGATCTTGTGATATATTATACACAAGTTTAAAATGAATTGGTGTTAGAAAATCATCATTTCCTGTCTAAAAATTATAAACATCAATCATTTTGTTATTATCAGAATAGTTTCATATTACAACAAATTTTAATTAACTATTAATATCTTTAAAATAGATCATATCCTTGAATTGTGCTCAATAAGGTATCAAATTTCTTTTTCATACTGATACTATTAAAATTAATTGAAAGAGAAAAGAAAGAGTACAAGTTCAATTGATTTAGAAACGAATCAGTATAATTCAATTATATTATACAATAAGATGATATTATCAATGTATCATGACAGTTAATCTCATGAGAATATCTATGTTAGATAATAATATAAGAAAAGAAACATATCGGAACAATGACTACATTTACTAGTTAAAGTAGTTGTGATGAAATTCATTCATGTGCAACCTTTTGGAATGATTAATTTTGTTATATGACATATAAAATGTAATGACTCAATATTTCTTTAAATCATTTAAACAAACCTTTATCATAAATATTTGTTTTTCACATGTTTTTAAAACTTGTTTATTTGTTAGAGATGGCAAATGATTAACAGTAGATAAAACTCTTCCAATTGTTGATAAATGATCTGCTGTTAATGTATAAATAATAATTAAATTTTCTGCTAATGTTTCATTTGATTCAAAACATAAAAGTACATCAAAACTAAATAAGAAAAAAAACAAAGTAATAAGAAGAATTTTGTCTTCTTTTTTTGGGTTGTTTACCAAACAGCAGGTGTTAGATCAATTGTTTTACATTGACGATTTTCTGCACTATAACGAATTGATTGTAATTCTTTCATATTCTTTATTACTACATTCACATTTACTAACGGATGAGATCTGACATTTAAATTTAAAAAAAAAAGAGATGAAGTTTAGATTACATAATGTATTGTTTAATATAGATAGAATTTACCTCAGATTAACAATCATATCTACTTTTGGTATACCGATAGTTAATGATGGATAATCAATTTTAAAAGTAGAATTTGATGATACAGTTGATGATGATGATATAGTTGGAAAATTAAATGGTGATTGTGACGCTAATGAAAAGCCAAAATCATTAATAATTGATGATTGTTTTAGATTAAGTAATAATTGACTTGGCACAATTCTTTGTGTATATGTTGTTAATTTACTTGTTCGAGAACCGAGATAGATATAAACACTACCTGTATGATTACCATCTATTTCACTCGGTGCTGATACGGCTAAATCTGAAATAGTTTTTTGTTTTTGGATTTAATTTAGATTAAAATAAAAATTTCAGTCTTTTACCATCAACTCCATCTTTATTTAAATCAGGTATACAAACAGTAGAAAAACCAAAACGTGAATGTGCCGGTGGTCCAAATAATATTTCACGTCGATCATTTGAAAACTAAAATAAAAGAAAATTAATAGTGTCATTATTTTATACTATGATATATTTACGTTTCCATTTAATCCATAATAAATATAAACAGCACCACCATATGATGGTTTTTTTGAATAATAAAATGGTGCACTTATAACAAGATCTGTATATCCATCACCATTTAAATCTCCTGCTGCCATTGTATATCCAAAATAACTTCCTGGTTGATCACCAGTTAAAATAAATGGTACTGAACCATTATCATTCATATGAAATATTGTTTGTAATGTATCATAACCAACATTATTTTTAGTTACAAAACGTTTTGTATAAAAACGAATTTCTCCTAGACCATTTGATGCACGAGGTGCTGATGCAATAAATATATATGATTTATCATTTATATCTCGACTTCGACTTTTTATTATTAACACTGAATAACCTAAATAACTATATGGTGATGGTGTTGAAGAAGCTGATTTAGTTGTATATAATTGTCTTAAAAGTGTATCTGAATAATCAGCTTCTATTCGACCAGACCATTGAAAAGCACCTGGTTCACCAAATGCAATTATATCTGATCGCTATAATAAAATATTGAAAAACATGGTTTTGAATTCAAATAAATATAATAATCTTACTCCTCCCGTTGGTATATAGGCTAAACTATGGCCACTTTGACATAGTGCACTACCTTCATGTAATAATTCTGTTTCTGAACTTCGTTCACAAAAATCATAGTAAGATATTTCTTGCTAAAATGAAAATATAATTAATTAATTAAAGATTTAGTATTGAATTAAAATTATTTACACGATCGGATGAAATTTTAAAACAGGCACCACGTGTATCATATCGCTCGAAACTAATCCTACGCATTAGACGATAACCACATGTCTGAAGTAAATAAAATAAAATTTCTCGTTTTTCTTCTTCTTCTTTAATCAAATATTTTTATGACATACCACAAGTGAATCATCTGATGTTGCTATAAGCGATGAACCTAGCCAAGCATCATCAAGAACATTATCGAAGGAAGGCATTGCCGCAGATAATTCATCTACAGATACATATACAAATTAGAACTGAGCATTAAGCTTAAATATATGTATTTTACTTTCTACAAGCATTGGTTGACATTCATTTGTACCATTCCGACATTCAAATATATTACCAAATAAACGACCATTTGGTATAGCTGGAGTACTATTAGATAAAATCGTAGGATTTCGTTGTCGAGCAAGAAATGCTCGAGGAGCACCGACATAAGTCCTATGAAATATAATTAATTCTAAAGAATACTATTCTTTTAATAATTATACCATTGTTGTTTCGTTGATGATGATATAACAGCAAAACCAAAGAGAGAATTAGATGGACCTGTACGTAGATCAGGAGAGATAATATCAAGGTTGTACGTTTCAATCACCGGTATATTGGAAGAAATGAATAAAGCACATAAAAATATTAAAAACATCTGTAAAGCTTTTCTAGCGAATGATCATCAAACTATTGTTTGACCATCCATCCACGTATTCACTGTTCGTAGTACTAATACAATAAGAAATCTGACAAGCGAAGATTGAATCATCATTCTGTCCTTGTATTTATCGATTATGATTGGTTTAATAGGAAGCCATTTTTATCTCTATAGAATCTTCATTTTATAGATGTCGCAAAAAAGATAAAAAAATTCAATTTCAAATCAAGAATTAAACATCCACAGATGACACGTTGTATCTTTTTATTTCAATATTTTATCAATTGGATTTTATTGTATCGATATCATTGATTACAATCGTCATATATGTTTAAAACTATATATAGTATAAAATATTTTTCGATACAACTGAAGATTAAAATTTTTTGTTCGATATTATCATAATTATGAACATAGAAAAAAATGTATATGAGCATTAAAATACAATAGTTTCAGAAGCCTCGTATCTTTATTTATATTGAACAATGATGTAACAGTAATTACTTCATGATCGGAAGAATATTAATTCTTATTATGCATGAAATCTGCATAATGATGCAAATAATCTATTGAACAATAGCAACAATTGAAGGACGCAACAAGCTTTAAACGACACACTAATCAATGTAGCGAAGAATCTTTTCCGCTTATTACCATTTGTTTTGTAATGACTTTATGCTAATTGTATAATTGATAATCATATATATATACATACATACATATCTCTTCAAAAATACTATCAATAAAAAGATGTTCTCAACTATTATATGATAGATTGTAACTCATTGAATTCATTATTTAAAAATATAAATATTGTCAAGTGTCGATCATGTATTAAGCATATAAGAGATTATTCTATGAACTATCAGCTAAAATCTTTTAAAATAACCTATGGATATACTCATTTACCATATTAATAATGACAATACCATATAAAGTTCATCATTATACAAAGAATAGTAACCCTTGATCTAACACACATCATCATTATCATCATCCATTTCTATTCGTTCTTAATAAGAAAAATACATAGTAGATTATGATATTCTCTTATGTTATGTATGCTATAAGAACATGATCAAAAAAAAGGAAAGGAATGTTTACTAAATAATGATTAATGTACGCTATCATGTTCATACATTAATTATCACCATTTGTTTCGTCTAGTTTACGTGCATAGAAAAAGGCTAAGCAGTCATTTAATAAAATGACATATATACAAACCTGAATAAATATCGTTTCTATTAAAAAAAGATACTAAACAATGATGTTCATGATTTATGTAGAATTGCTTGTCAGATGAAAAGTGAGAAATATATCAGATTTAGTAACTAGAGCTTTTATAATGAATCGAATACAACAAATAAAATATGCTTCATATTTTTACTGATATTGTTATTAAATCAAAAACGATGTTTATTGAAACCTACTCTTCTACATATAAAAAATATATTTAAAGCAAAATCTGTATTTAATAAAAGAAACAAAATATATAAAACATCAACTAATTGTACTATAAATGGTACTTATATTATAAATTATTTTAGCACAGAACGAGATTTTAATAATGGGAGGACATATGTATATACAAAATAAAAAAACAATAACAACTATTCTATTTACCAAAAGCTATATTGTAATTTGTATCTAAATTAATTGTTTAGTAAATAATACATTACATAAATATGTAAGTATAAACTCTAAACAAGTTATTTCAACAAATAAGTGAAGTTTTAAAATGTAATAAAACATTTATAACGATCTGATGGAAAGAATCTATAGTTATACGAGAAATCTATTTAAAATAAACTTTTTTGATATACAAATACTTGACCATTTTAGCTGTATACTGTAAGAGAGTCTAATATACTACTCAATGTAAGTACGTTTCAGTTTTATGATAGTGAAAAGAGTAAAAACAATGCTACACTATCTTATATCATACATATGTTCTTTTCTTACACGCATCAGAGATATACAATAACATTTCATCGGTGATTTCATTTATATCGATAGGTTTTATTGATTAAAAAATGACTATAGTTATATATTTTTGATGTTTGAAAAAGAAATGTTATTGTTTTTATGCCCTTTATATAAATGTCAATTCAACATGTATTTATATCAAAGTTCTAATTCTAATAAAAACTAATTTAAGAGATCTTTTATATTATTTGCTATTCAAAATAATGAAAATAGATTTTGAATATCCTATAAGAAGAAAATGCTAATGATATATTATGCATGATTTATTTCTCTTAAAGAATTAATCAATTGATCGAATGCTATCATAACATATTCATCAGTTGTATTATTTGTAATATACTGTTGTTTCTTTGCATAAACAAAAGAAAACAGTTTTTTTTTGGTTTGCCTTTTCATTTTGAAATAATCGTTTTTCTTTTTATGAATATCATAAACCGTATTTTATTGTTTCAAAAAACGAATAATGGCATTTAAATGATTTCATTTCCTGTTCCACTTCTTTCTTGATTTTTATTCTTTCAGACTGACCTTATTATATTTTATGAAATACAATATCGGCAATTATATGTATTGAAGAACTGTGTAGAAATATGTGTATAGGCACTTTCTTTTTAGATGTCTTTACATCAAACTACGTGAATATTAATATGAGTTGATTCATTATTTTACAATAAACGATAAATAATCATTTCTATTTTTATCAATTGTGAAGAACCTTCTATTTCTATCAATGAACCTACAATATATATCTATTTGGTTTATATTTAAACTGTTATTGTAAAACAGATATTGATAGTTTAATATCATAAAAAAAGTCTTTTCATTGTTGTCTAATATTTATCGAAGGATTTTAATACAGATTTTATTTTTCTACTATAATCAAATCAGTTAAAATTCGCAACTGCATACAATTATATGAATACTAATCAAAAAAACAGAAGGTTGTTGTTTGAAAAAGAAAAAAAAATGAGAATATTGTCGATTCCTCGAACGTAAACAGATTGATAGAAAAAATGTATTGTCTTGAATTTCATATTTAGTTGTATGTACTGGTAACACAATTTTAAATTACAAAGATAACATCAAACTTGTTTTTACATATGTTTCTTAAATTGTAGAAAGTAATACCCTTCGACCTATAGAACAACAAGGCAAGATTATTTGTTATTCGAGGTACCTGTTTGATTATAAATGTAATGAAGAAAATGGTTTTTTCTCTTTTTTCTCTCTCTACGTGTTTTATTTATAGAACTGGGAAGACATCATTTTTTTTTTCGTATTTTGGTTACTAGTTTTACGTCTGAGCGAGACCATAAAAAAACGAACAAGTACAATAAGTAAGGATTATTAGCTAAGCGAGATAGGACACGTATGCACAATTTTGCTGAATAAAGGAAGAAGAAGAAGAAGAAGAAGAAGAAGAAGAAAAACCTATCTTGAATCAAATAAATGAAAAAGAAAAAGGACTATGCCCTTCACAATAATAAGACAAAAAATAGGGAGTTAGGGAGAGAGATCGAATGAGAAAGGCAAACGGAACGGATTTCATTTCATATATCATTCATATTTGTATCATGGGAGAAAAATGAGATAAGCGAGATAAAAAAGCACCATACAAAAGAAGCATCTCAATTTTTGTTTGCATTACAGACAAACAAATGAGTAGATCGAAAATAGTCTATTCATTTCTTTAAATACTATAGTATTAATTCAAGGTTTGTTCTTCTTATAGATTTGATTTATTGTTAAAATGAAACTCGCCCTCATCTTCATTGTATCATTTGCGACTATTTATGTCGCCAGTTCAAGACTGCTCAGTAGTACAGAACAATTAGTGAATCGTCCAGAAATTAATCTACTTAGACGATTAGTTAAACGTCAAGCATATAATGGTAAGGAAACTACTGTTGATATTATCAGAATAGAAAGAGTTTTCATTTGAATTTAGATCCAAATTGTGATCGTCGTGCTTGTGCTGTACCCAATTGTGGTAAAGACTATGTAGCAACAACCTTACAAGGTGAATGTTGTGAAAGATGTGTACCATGGGAATATGCACGAAGCCTTGGAATTCCATATACACAAGGTTCTCAAGGTCCACAAGCACAACAGAGTTATCGACCTCAACCACAACCACAACCACAACCACACTATGATCCATACGCTCAACAACCACAACAACAACAAGGTGTTGATGTATACATATACGGACCTGATGAGGGAGCTCGTGTATCTTCCGGACAAGGCATTTATTTTGATTGTGAAGTTATTGCACCTTATAATCAACATGCTCAACCACGTTGGTCACGAGGTGGAAATCAAGTAAATGAATATGTTTTTCTAGTTTATATTTATTTAAATATATAATATTCTTTCATAGCCATTACCACATAAAGCACAAAGCACAGTTCTCTCTGGTAACCGAAAGCTTGCACGTCTTACCATTCCTGATGCTAATCACGGTGATGCTGGCCGATATGTATGTAGTGCCGGTACAGGTAATCCAAGAGATGAAACTTCCATCGATTTACAAGTTAGTCTTTTCTCTATGAAACTCTAATTTTTTTCATACGCGTGATGTATATTCTAGGTCACTGATGGTGGTTATAATCCTCGACCACAACCCACACCCGCACCATATCCAGCACAACCAAACTATCCTGGTTACGATCAATATAACCAACCAGGTTATTATCCACAACCCCAACCCCAACCTCAACCACAACCATCATATCCAGCTGCTGATAATAATGACGATGGTGATGATGATGATAATAATGATGACGATAACCAAGAACCAGCAAATGAACCAGCAACACCAGCACCAGCAGCTCAAGAAGGTGGTGATGGAGGTCAAGACGACGGCGAATACCCAGAAGATTACACTGAAAATGAAAAATAAACAATGCAATAACAATATCACAGTAGCAGCTGTTAATCAGCTCAGCGAACTCTATTATCTAATTCGCGTTATAGCAATACTAGTCTAGATTTTTTCATTCAAATCAGTTTTTTTTCTTATTTCTTATATGATGCGTTTTTAAAATAATAATTATCCCAATATTCTTCAATTGTTCTTTTCTAAAGTCACATAAGAAACAAGTCATCTCGATTTTCTAGTTTTTCAATATAATTTATCTATGAATAATATAGCCAACTAATAAATCAATAATGTTATATTCTATTTATACAATCATCAATAACAATATATTAAAATCAAATCAAAATATTATCTTTATACTTTATCAGCGATCATAAGAATTGTTCTATATTTAAAGATTTAATCTTCGTTAGGAAGTAATATGAGATTCATTGATCTTGACAAAACATGTTTTTCCTAACAAGATAAATCATCTAACAATAAATAATTAACAAAATATCGAGATTGCTTATATGTAATTGGATATTGCAATCTAAACGAATAGTTCGTATGTTGATAAATATTAAATTGTAGGTAACTCAATCTTTATATGTTTTTCTAGTTGATGATTTTTTAATAAGAATTGGACTTAGATAAAAATAGGTCCAGTCCACTTTTTCATCTAAACAATTTGTATTTGCACCAAAAAACACAAATCTTGTTCTTTCTAATACTGCATAAAAATACAAGCGAAGAACAAATATAAATATATCTACATTATTCATTCTTTTTTTTGAATATCATAGCATAACAAGATAAATTATCGTTTAAGTCCAATAAAACAAATATCGTTTATAAAAACTATTTTAATAAATTTATATTACTATAAACTAATACAATGCTATTCTTCAATTTATTCAAAACAAGTATACATTGCTGAGCTTATTCAGTAGTATTAAAAATCACTTAAGTTTCTAATAGAAAAGCTAACTGTATAGAATTTTTGTCGATTCAAATTCCATTTGTGCGAATAGAATAATCGTTAGAACATGGTAGACATTGATGATTCTTTCAACCATTTATTTTTTTTAGAAAGAGAACAGTTGTATAGCAGCGGATAGTATCAAATACTTTTGAATTGATAATAAATGTATGGAACTTAAATATGAATCTATGTATTGTTTTTCTTATACTACATTCGTTGGATACAGTGTTTGATTTAAATCGTGTGGTAATCATGATGCTTATGTTACATTTCGAGGCGTATTAGCAATGATTGTTTTATTAACTATTAGTCTTAGTTGTGATGTTCGAGAGAAAATACATTCTACAATATAAATATGATTTCTTCATTTTTGTACTAATACTTGAATGATTATTTTACAGTTGAAATAAGTAAATAAGAAATTTTCAATAAAATAATTTTTGTCGTTTGTGATGCTATTATTGGTAGTAAACCACCCCTCAGAATAAAAGGTCATGGCCATGCATTTTGAAATGTTACATCACTTGTCGATGGATGGCCTTCTATTGGGGGTGACCTTCTAATGAGATTTTTAAAGTAAAAAACTATGATTTTACGTTTATTAGTCACAGATTTTGTCTTTCTAGTTGAACAACTCAAAATTAAAGTATTTTTAGTATTTCGGTCTATTGATAGCCGTAAACTACTTCTTATGAATGATTTACATGTGAATCTTTTTCTTTTCATTTCAAATTAATTAATATCTTCCATTTTCTTCACTTGATTTGTCTTAAATATTGTGTCTCATACTTTCATCGGTACTAGTTTTAGTATCATCAACAGATTTCAAATTTAAATAATTATTTAAATAAATAAACAAGTAAGTTTTCGTTTTCTTCTATATCAGAAACAATCTTTAATTGATCTTCATCTACGGAACTATCCGATAGTGACTTTAAATGTTCGTCACATTCTTCATCAGTTTATGATTTCGATTTGAATAGTTAATGATTACTTGCACTATATCTATTGAATATGACTGACTCTTTTTTTTATCGATTAGTTTTCTTTTCTCTTTATTTAAACTTCTTTCGATGTAATAGTCTAATTTATTGTTTACATTTATCTGGTGTCGGTGTCGGTCGCTGCAAATACTACATAGAACAAAAAAAACTTTCATAAGGCCATGACCTTCTAATATGTCTTTTACAGATGTGACTCAGAGGTGACCTTCTATTCTCGGTAGGGGTTTGCACATACATGGTGAATTTCTACGAACATCGAAAGTTCAACTACTTGTTAAATTTATCATGTGTTTTTTTCTCTGACCATATCGAAAATGATTACGTATTATTAAGAATTTATTATATATATATATTTCCTTCTATTCCATTAGCTACGTATGTACAATTAATAGGAATATTTGACTTATTTTATTTCATATCAATGTTTTTGAAAAATAATCGATGATTTGTAATCAGAACTGTTGAACTGAATGATAGATCAGAGAAGAAAAGGATTGCCTTAGAACTTATTCTCAACAATTATTCTACTAGGTAAATAATTGAATCGGTATTTCACATATTTCTTTTTCAAACACATCGATTAATAATAATTCACTTTATGAATATCATCAGTATAGACATATTCTTTCTTGATTCCATTTAAATTTCAATATTCATTCATATATAAAATCTTTTTCAACATTTTTAGTACATAGAAAACTTTCAATTTTTTTGAAGTTTATTCTTTATCTTGGACACTTTATATACAAGTGAAAATTGAATTTGCAGATCATAAAATGTCATAAACCAACCGAATTTTTTTTCATTATTTGTAAATAACAAACATATTCAAGTTGGAAAAAGAAATTCTTCGATATTATTTCATCTAACATCTACAGTTTAATTTTTAATTACTCCAAAGATTTTAAATAAAATGTGATAAACTAAACATACGACAAAAAAAAAGAAATAAACTACTCAAACAGTTATCAGATTATCATGTTAGTCAAATACTAACCAGCGTATTACCTCTTTAAAATCAATATTAGATTTCATATCTCTTTGTCATACAACTAGAAAAAAAAAATCTTCATGAATACATTTTTACAGTCTTTAAATGTGCGCAGTGTATTGTAGGACATATATTAAATGTGTTTATTCATAGGCATCGATGATTCTTAAAATGAACCCATGAATTATGAGTAAGACAAACCATTATTTCTTTGAATTAGAATAACCATATGAATTAAATGAGTTATATTTAGTACATGAAATGATTCATATGTTTTTCTTTTTTACGACCAAAATTATTCTGACTAATCGACGGATTACTCATTATTTTGACCAATCGTTAATAAATCATACGATACCTCTTATATGTCATATATTTTATTGTAATTCAAGATTGAGTTATTATTTTCAAAGAAATCTAATATAAATGATGTGGACAAAAATTACTATGTTTTTACAAATACATTTAAATAGATCTCTATTATTATTTCATTGATGATTTATTGTATCATAACATATTTTTGTTTCATTATGAAACAAAAAAAAACAACAGCCTAGATAAGAGAGTAAAAAAATGCACCATATGATATTGTTGATTTTTACAGCCCATAAATGTGAAAAGTTACGCATATTTTATGAATCGTAAGATATTTTGAAAAACATTCGTTATTTATAAAAATCTGTCAATGTTTAGAGTGTTTTTTTTTCGTTCTAGCGAGTAGTGTCCTTGTTGCAAATAGCTTTTACAAACCAAAATAATATGAAAAACTTTTGTTTTTTACTTCTTCCCCACATTACTAATGTAAATTATTAATGGACTTTTTTTCGATAGGTACATCTATAGAAAAATGAACAACATCGATAGCCGTTCTCTTATTTCTAATCAATCGAGTATCTATGTTTGAAACTTAAAAATGAGTTTATTTTGTCCTTCAAAAAACAACACAGTATTGAAAATGATAGTTTGTAATGATGTATAATAGATTGATGATATGTATGCTTTTTATGCTTCATATATAGAGGAAGACAAATAGAAACAGAGAGAAAGGCATCTAGACACTGTAGAAATGACGAAAAAAAAACGTATCATAGCAGAGAGAGAGAGAAGAAAAATTCCATTAACATTACAAGTAATGAAACAGAACAAAATACTGCGTCATTTTTGTATTTATATATGTACAGGTAAAAGAAAATGAGACAAGGTATGAATACTGACCTATGCCTCGCGCAAAGAATGAATAAAAGAATGATGACAATCTTGCTGACTGACCATAATTTACGTCAAGAAGTAGACGACATAGCGGGAGAAAAAGTAAGAGAGTCGAGACATGTAACATTTTTTTTTTATTTCATCGTCTATATCGGCTACTGAATGAACAAACGATAGACGGATGACCAAGTTTACTATGACGATTATAAAAATAGTGAAGAAAGTTAGTAAAAAAAGAAAGGAAGACGAAAGAGAAAAAAAAACATAAAAGAACTGTAGTCGTACTGAAGGATAGTAAATGACGAGATTGGAAGAGAAAAAAATAAAAAAAGGAGACAAGAGAAAAGTTTATGCGAGTATACACACCCAATAGCTCCTTTCACTTGCACCATTCATCATCTAACATATTCCTTCAGCTTCCTTTCTATGTCGTCATTTGCTATATATCTTTTGTTACTGCTCAAATAGTCAAAGAAGAAAAAAATTCGAACACTTATACAGTCGGATTTTTCTTGCGTTTCTCTCTTTTCTTTTCTTTTTTTCTAACACTTTTGCATAATGTGTGTTTCGATATATTTCATAACCGACTTGTCCTTCTTTTCATTTAAATTAGATTTAACATTCATATAAATTACAAAAAAATTATTCAAACCAAATGACTGCTATTTGGAAAGTGATCATTACTTTAGTTTTATTGTATGTTACTGGTAAGTGAAATAATTTATTACTACTTGTAGCTTATCCATATAGAAAAATAGGTGTCAGACAAACCAGTTTACCTTGAAAAAGATATGCGTAATATAGATATATGTACGTTTCTGTGTATAAAACATGGATGTACTATAGTATAATATTACATCTTTAATTATATTTTCAAACAAAAATGAAAGACGCTCACTTGTTCTACACAAGATTACGAGATAAGCATAACTGATAATCTTTAAATTCAGAACACATCAGTATATAACCTTCAACAGAAGAAATTGAAATAAAAGGTTAGGTAGAGATCAGTAACAAAATAGTGTATGTGTAATAATGCTGACAATAGATTGACGATGACCTTTTTCTATCAGTCAGCGAATCTAATGATAAAAAATATGTATATAAATTTACAGAATATATTAAAGTGTACGTAAATAAAAAAATACATAAATAAATAATATGCAAATGATGAATCATGAATGCGGTTTCTATTTCTTAAGTGGCCGATGCCAATCGAGCTCGTCGTCGACGACAAACTGAAATAAATTCGCAAGCAGCTAATCAAAATGCAGCTTCGAATACATTCAATTCTCACACAGATTCTCGTCAACGACAATTACCAAATCCTGTAATTCTAAATTCTCAAGGGCAACCACAACAGCAGATTGGTCAGGGTGGCGAAGGATTACTAAAAAATGCAAATTTAGGACAAATGCAAGCCGGACGACAATTTAATGCCTATCAAAATCCTCAATATGGAGGACAACAACAAGGTTTAAATTATAATCCATATGGTGGTGCAGGTGCTGGTAGTCAATATAATACTGGACAATGTAAGTAAACAAAATTTAGATATATCTATTAAGTTAACTCATATTTATATATACTTGTTCAATATAAAAGAATTGTCCATTATTTTTGTAGATGGAGCATATGGTCAAGGCCAAGGACCGTATGCAAATTATTATCAAAACCAAAATCAACAATATCCATATGGAAGTCAAGGTTCAAGTAATTACTATTCAGGTGGAAGCAGTTACAATCGTCCTGGCTATGGACAGAGTGGTTATGGACAGAGTGGTTATGGACAGGGTGGTTATGGACAAGGTGGTTATGGTTTCTGGGGTGCTGGTCAAAAACAAAATGCTAACATTTTCATTGTCTTTCTTTCGTCTTTCCTAGCTTTAACAATCTATTCGATTACTATATTAAACTAGTCGAAAATTCAAGATAGAAAAAAAAACAATAAAAAAAAATCAGAAGAGTTTTTCATTTTTAATTATTCATTTGCTTGAATGGTCATATAGTTCATTTTGTTTTTGTATAACTATGACTATTCTTGTATCTTTGTTCAATTATTTCTCTTTTTTTTTAAATATTTTCCACGTATAATAAGAAATTTCTTTTTTTTCTTCATATGTATACATTCTGCGTACGCGCGTAATCTCCATTGTTATTCCTATTTTAGCAAAGCTATATTTAGCTTTTGTATACATACATACATACACAATTATCTTTTCTTTTTCATCCTATTTTTTTTTTCTTCATGTGTTCATGCTATTGTTGTTACACTTGTATCTTGTAAGCAAGATTAATGATTTGTTTGAAAAAAAAAACAAGATAATACATGATATTTAGATATAATACTACTAGTAATACTGTTACGAAATCACCACGACCAAAAGTAGATCTATTACAAAATTTGAATAAATTACCATCGAAAACAGTATCACATTTTTGTCGTTCTGATCAAGTAAATCAAAGAGCACAAGTTTATAATCAGACAGAATCAATAATCATGATGACAGATGGATTAACATCTATTCAATATAAAATACCGACGGCTGAACAAACGAGTATGCTATGTTAATAAATAAGTTCGATGAGTTTACAAAACATTTTCTTTATTTTCAAAATATTTATTGATAAACAGTAGTAGACCTGTAAGGAATTATAATATATGTACAATAAAAAACATATTTTCAACTTCTCCAAAACATCTCTAGGCAATATTTTATAACTATTTAAGTGTTTCATACCCTTTAGATACGCAATAAAACTTTGATAATATTTACTGTCTAAGATTTGACAGATAGGAGTTGTTAAAATAATTATTGTTAATTATATTTTTATACAATCTATAAAAGATGAAATATTTATCAGATCACATATATATATAAGCACAACGCAAGTGCGTCTATAAAAATATCATATCGATAATGACTCTTACTAAGTACAGCCTACGCAAATATTCATCTATATTAATCACCCACATGATCTTTAAGAAATAATTTCAGTGTCATATATTCTCTGATAATATTAATACTTGAAATCAAATTTAAATAATTTTTCATATATTTTAGTGCGGCACAAACGTTTCAATAAAATTGCGCCTTTTCATACACATATGCCTACACCAAAACGTCAAATTCATTCAAACAGTTTTAGTAAAAATTAATCATATTCAATCGTCTAGTTTGACTCATTGATTATTTTATGCATCTAAATCTCGCTAATAAATATATAATATTTCATATACGTATGGTATCTTCATATTATTTTATACTTAGAATAAATATGTGATATAATATCGTTATATTCTTACTGGACTTCACTTAAGATATTATGAACTGAATCTATTGATCTACTTTCAAAATGTCAAGTTTAATAATTATTGAACTGTTTAATTTATTTTTATTTAATGAGAAAATAAAAAAAAATGAAACAGATCAATTAGATGATTGTACAGTAAAAAAATAATTAAAATCTGACACTAGATTTAGTCTAGAAAGAAAAATTACAGTTCATTATGAAATCATATTTGTTAGACGTTGTTCAATTTCTCTAAATAGTCAAATAAAAGAATATATAGACCGAGTGACATTTATATTAAAAAAAAGAATAGCATATTTATGTTTAATTAAATCTCACCGGAATGTGATCATTAATTCATCTCGTTTCTGTATTAATATATTCAATATATCATCACTTGAATAATCAATATGATCATCATCATTATCATCTAAAGATATAATTCGTATTTTTTTCGTTTTAATTTTTACTAGAAACTACCTTGTTGTGGTACATGAGATTCATCAATAATAACAATACTACTACTATGATTATTATTTCTAATTGGATAATGATTATCTGTATTGTTATTATCATTAATCATAATTGATGTTACATGTGTTAAAGTACTATCTTGTGAAGATTGAACAGTATTTGAAGGATAGACAATTGATCGTTGATATTGATGATGATTGTCATTTGTTGTTGAATGACCAGCTGAAATAACTGGACGAAAAGAATGATGATGATGACGATGATGATGACGTTTGACAGGTGATGGTGATGATGATATTTGTGTTATTTCACATTTTGATCGTGGTGGTGGACGATGCCAAACTGATGAATGATGATTATCATCACGTGTTGGACGTAGATCTACTTCATTCGAAATTAAATTTGAAGAAGATAGACAATTTTCACTCGTTGGCGATGTTTGAATACAAGCATCCTGTTATGATAAATAAATTTTTATTTCTTTCAAATAAAATAATAAACATACCTGTAATGTTTGTGTAGCTATTTCGGAATATTTTCGGATGGGTATTGGAGTTGTAACACATTGTTTTATAGATTCTGATTCAGTATTTGTTGCTGATGATTGCTGTGATTCTTGTTTTGGTGACAATGGTTTAACAACTGGAGGAGGAGGTGGTGGCGGTGGTAGGGGTGGAAGTACTTGAGGTATTTCAATAGGTATTGAAGGAAAATGTGAACGTCGTGGTGAAATATTTGTTATCTATAAGATTAATTTTTAAAATAAATAATCTCAATTCATTGTGAATTACTTTAGATGGAAATGTTATCGGTTCATTATTTTGTGCTTGTTCTAATCGTCGACGTAAACGCCATTGATATAAAATATCATCATCACTACCATCATTTTTCATATCAAATCTTGTATCTATTAAAAATTTATAAAAAAAATATTCTTGTATAAAAATAAAAAATATTTTCTTTCTATCATACTAATTCGTGTAAATATAGGTCGAGCTGGTTGTTCACGAATAGCTGATTGAAAAGTACTTGTAGTTGTTGTGGTCATTGTTTGTGATGGAGTTGAACCAACACCTACACTTGATATATGACCTACATCAGATGAATGTTCACTAGGTGTTTGTGTAAGAAGTAATGATGCTCTTCTATTTAAATCTTGATCAATATCTGTTGAAGGAAATATCTGAAAAAAAAGAAAATCATTTTTTGATTTATTATAATTCAAGAGAAATTTTACTTCAATAAAATCTGGAATATTTGATCTACGATCATCATCTCTATCGGTTTCAGATTCATAAGTTTGTTTTAGTTCATCTAAAATTTTGAAACGAAAAAGATTAGAACGAAACTAATAAAAGATCAATATCAAACCATGTAACCACCAAAAGTCAGAATTAACTGAATCTCGTTCTGGTCGTGGTTGTGGTTCATCATGACGAAAACGGTCAACAAGTCTAAAACCAAAATAAAATAAATAAACTAAATTTTGTATATTTAAATAAACATACTTTTTTATTGTTGATGGTTCATTTGATTTTTGTACTGATGTATCAACAGCTTTCTTCGGTGAAGAATGGGATCTAAAATTTAAGTTATATTAAATTTTTGTTTTAGCTATTTTTTCTTACATCGAAGGAGTTTGAGAAGGTTTTTTAGTTATCGTACGATTATTTGCTGGTGGTGTAATATAACGACGAGTTGCTCGATTAGCTACTTGCATTTTTTTTAGATCTATATTATTGAAATAAGTCGGATAAGTACCATTATCTATAAATATTCGACTTCTGTTGTGAAGCAACTATAATTCATAAAAAAATTCTTTTCTTTAAAAAAACTAATTCAAAACATATTTAATCGATGGAAAAAAATTTTTAATTTATAATATTAAAATAAAATCTGAATGATAGATGTCATTAATTCTGAAAGTTAATCATTGGTAAATCAGATTTGTATTATTTTTCTCATTCGCTCCTCTAATTTATACGTGCGTCAACATGTCGAAAGAAATCTTTTCTTATTTATTCTTTTTTTCTTATCTAAACATACCTAAGATTTTAAGTGAAACAAACTTTAACATTTATTTTATTAAATTATCAACAAGAACAAATTTATTAACATGAGTGCAAATATACAAGATCGTATAAAAGAAAAAGTTGATTATATCTATCAACGTTTACGTACACAAATGTCCAGCATCGGGTCATCAACTACATCTGATAAACATGTATTTTTTGTATTTGGTGCATCTGTATGTTTGATTTACTTTTCTATAAATTTCAAATTCTTACATTTTTTCTTGCAATATTTTAGGGTGATTTAGCTAAAAAGAAAATCTATCCAACACTTTGGTTTGTTAAAAAATATTTAGAATAAAATTTGACCTTTTTCGGTTTTGTTTATCTACAGGTCACTTTATCGTGATGGTTTAGTACCAGAAAATATTCATTTTATTGGTTATGCTCGTAGTCAATTGACAACTGAGAAAATATTTGAAAATGCTCATAAATACATGAAAGTAAAAACAATTTTTTTTTCATTTGATATCTAATCTTTTAATTCTAATTTATTTAGGTTAAAGATGATGAACATGAGGCTTATGAAAAATTTCTTAAACTTAATTCATATGTCCCAGGTTCTTATGATAAAGCTGAAGATTTTGAACATTTACATTCTGAAACAAATAAAATAACCAAACAACCAACTGCTCATCGATATTTCTATTTAGCATTACCACCCAGTGTTTATGATAGTGTATCAGAAATGATCAGTAAACATTGTCGACCAGAATCGTATGAAAATCCTATTATATTATTTAAAATTTTTCATTTTGTTTTTTTTTGTAGACCTGGATTATTACGTTTAATCGTAGAGAAACCATTTGGAAAAGATCTTGAAAGTTCAAATAAATTATCTGAACATTTAAATAAATCTTATTCAGAAGAGGAAATCTATCGTATTGATCATTATTTAGGAAAAGAAATGGTACAAAATATAATTGTACTTCGATTTTCCAATAAAATATTTTCACGTGTTTGGAATCGAGATTCAATTGCAGCTGTAAATATTATTTTTAAAGAAGATATTGGAACACAAGGACGTGGAGGTTATTTTGATGAATTTGGCATTATTCGGTAAGAATAAATTTTCTTATTCTCAAATTCTAAAAGAAGTCTTATTAATCATTACAGACAAATAGTTAATTCTAAATGTATTGAGATCAATGTATATTTTACGAATATATTCTATATGATAATTATTTATTTTAAAGAGATGTGATACAAAATCATTTAATGCAAATTTTATCAATTCTTGCTATGGAAAAACCACGTTCAACAACAGGTGAAGATATACGTGATGAAAAAGTGAAAGTATTACGTTGCATAGCACCTATTAAATTAGAAGATGTTGTTATTGGACAATATACTGGTGATAAAGAATCAACAGATCCTGAACATCAAGAAGGTTATTTAGATGATAAAGGTGTACCAAAAGATTCAACAACACCTACATTTGCACAAGTTGTTCTTTTCGTTAATAATGAACGTTGGGATGGTGTACCATTCATACTTCGCGCAGGTAATTATTCAATAATAATATTGCTAACTATAAGAATTATGACTTTATTAAAAATCTTACAAGTATCTGTTATTTTCTTTTAGGTAAAGCATTAAATGAAAAGAAAGCTGAAATTCGTATTCAATTTCGCGATGTACCCGGTGGAATGTTTGATGATAATATTCAAGAGAATAATCCAAATGGTAAATTAGCTCGTGATGAACTTGTTATACGTGTTCAACCAAATGAAGCTGTTTATCTTAAATTAAATACAAAACGACCTGGTGAAATGGATTTTAGTATTGAAGAAACTGAATTAGATTTAACTTATAAAGAACGATATCAAGATGTTAAATTACCTGATGCATATGAACGTTTGATACTTGATGTATTTACGGGTTCAAAAATAAATTTTGTACGTTCAGATGAATTACAAGAAGCATGGCGTATTGTTGATCCAGTATTAGCTGAAATTGATAAGAAAAAAATTCCTGTTATACCATATAAATTTGGTGCTGTTGGTTTACGTGAAGCATTCGCTGGAGCAGCTAAACATGGTTATATTTATACCGGTACATATGTATGGAAAGATGAACGATCAGGATCAATTACAAGTCCATACAAAGATAAAGAACGTACTAAGTCAAATGCAGCAGACAAAAAATAAATTTAGTCATCTTTCATATTTACTTTCATACCTTTTGTGATATATATATTCAACGTAGATTTATGTACTGCTACTTTAGAAGTTATGCTCTTCTTCTTCTTCTTCTCCTCAGCTTATAGATTACAGTTTCTTTGAAAAAGAAAACGTAGAATTATTTATATGTTTTTTTATTTCAGATTATAATAGATAAGAAATATGAGTTTAACAGGAGGATATCATCTTCCGAAAACAAATGGAAATATGCCACATCATGATCTTCTTATACTTGATTCTGGTTCATCACAACATCAACTACAACAATTACAACAACCACAAAGACCATCACCACCATTTTATTTATTAAGTCATTATCCATTAGAACCACCACCTACTGGTAGTACAAATCTCATTGATCATTGGGGTTTAAGACGTGATTTTGATAAATATGTTAAACAACCTATATCACCATCATTAAGTGATTTTTTAACAGATATTCCTTTAGCTGAAACTGCACAACATAAAGCAGCTTCATTTGCCGGTGATGTACATGGTGGTGTTGGAACATTAAGATCCTTATTTGCTGGTCCTATTATTTCAAAAGAAATACTTCCACTTACAGAACAACAATTAAGTGCATTTCGTTTACATCGTGAGCCAACATTACCTGATATGTATCAAATATATACAAGTTCACCAAAAGAAACACGTTCAGCACCAACAACAGAAACACTTCTACCTCCACCAACAACAAATCCACTTCCTGGACCATCACCCCAAGTTCAACGTGTTATCAATGAACAAACATCACGTATATCACCTGATGTTAAACGAAAAGCACCAGCTGATACAACACCTGTTATACAACAACAAACAACAACACCAGTTGCTAGTATGTTAAATCGAACGATATCAACAACAAGTACACCAACATTATCAACAAATGCAAATTTAGCATCGAATAGTGGACATTTAAATGATGATCAAGATGAAATGAATTTATCAAAACGAAAAACAAAGAAGACTAAAAAAGAAAAAAAAGTTTAATTTAAAATATTTCTTCTTTTCTTTTTGTTATTGTTTTCATTTCTCTCTACTATAATTGTTAATAGAATTCAACAAAAATCTTAATTTTCATTCTAGATTTATTTTTTACTTTTTATTGCAATACAAAAGCAATGGGCAGTCGAGATAAACTTCCGAAAGTTGCTGATGCTGAACGAGAAGCTCTCTATGGTTATGTCTTTGGTGTTTCGGGTCCAGGTATGTAAAACAATAATAAATTTATATTAATTAATACGATTTATCTTTAATCTTTTTAGTCGTTATTGCTAATCATATGGCTGGTTCAGCAATTAATGAATTGGTAAGATTACTAATAATGAAATATTGAAGAATAGATGTAATATTTTTTTTCTTTTCATATAGGTTCGAGTTGGTCATGAAGAATTGGTTGGCGAAATTATTCGTTTGGAAAATGATCTTGCTACAATTCAAGTTTACGAAGAAACATGTAAGACTAGAAAAATGTAATTAAAGATTAATATATTTATTTGAAATATGTTATTTAGCTGGTGTTACTGTTGGTGATCCAGTTTTAAGAACAGGTAAACCATTATCTGTTGAACTTGGCCCCGGTATTATGTCAAGTATTTTCGATGGTGAGATAAAAATAAAAATAGAATTATATATAGAGAGGGAGAATATTATCTATTATAGGTATTCAACGACCACTCGAAGTTATCTGCGCTCATACTAAAAGCATTTACATTCCACGTGGTATCAATGTACCCGCATTAAGTCGTACAGCACAATGGCATTTTACTCCAGATAATCGTGTTCGAGTATGAATAGTTTTTGTTTTTGTTTTTGAAAGTTTTACATTTATGTTTTATTAGATTGGTAGTCATGTAACCGGTGGTGATATATATGGTTCTGTTCCAGAAAACAGAATGATTAAACATCGAATAATGGTTCATCCTAGAGCAATGGGAACAGTCACATACATTGCACCAGATGGCGATTATACACTTGACGTTCGTTGAATAAATTTTATTTTTCTTTAATATTCCTTCTACTTTTAAATCAATAGGATACTGTTCTCGAAACAGAATTCGATGGTGTTAAAACGAAACATACAATGCTTCAAGTATGGCCTGTTCGACAAATGCGACCAGTAGCTGAAAAACTTGCTGCCAATCATCCTTTATTGACTGGTCAACGTGTATTAGATTCATTATTTCCGTATATATTTCAATTGATTATTTCTTTCCTATTAATAAAAGAAATCGTATATTTAGATGTGTACAAGGTGGTACAACAGCTATTCCAGGTGCCTTTGGTTGTGGCAAGACTGTTATTTCGCAATCACTTTCGAAATTTTCCAATAGTGATGCCATTGTTTATGTTGGTTGTGGTGAACGTGGAAATGAAATGGCTGAAGTATTACGTGATTTTCCTCAAGTATAATTTTATTTTAACTATTATTTATTATAAAAATAAATGATTTTTCATAGTTAACAATGGAAGTCGATGGTAAAGAAGTATCAATTATGGAACGAACAACTTTAGTTGCAAATACATCAAATATGCCTGTCGCTGCTCGTGAAGCTTCTATTTATACAGGTGAGTTCAATAAAATTGTTGTTTCTTTTTTATTATGAAAATCTTCTTTAGGTATCACTTTATCCGAATATTTCCGTGATATGGGTTATAATGTTGCTATGATGGCTGATTCTACATCACGTTGGGCTGAAGCTTTACGTGAAATTTCTGGTCGTTTAGCTGAAATGCCTGCCGGTTAGTTTTCATTTAAAAAGAATTCAAATTATGCAGATAATTATTTCTTTCTTGTTTTGTTTTTAGATTCTGGTTATCCAGCTTATTTAGGCACACGTTTAGCTTCATTTTATGAACGTGCTGGTCGTGTTCGATGTTTAGGTAATCCAGAACGTGAAGGTTCTGTCAGCATTGTTGGAGCGTAAATATTTCATATAAATTAGAATAAAAAAAAATTAATTATTAATCTTGTAGTGTTTCTCCACCTGGTGGTGATTTTGCTGATCCAGTTACAGCAGCAACTTTAAGCATTGTACAAGTCTTTTGGGGTTTAGATAAAAAATTAGCACAACGTAAACATTTTCCATCGGTTAATTGGCTTATTTCATATAGTAAATACACACGTGCACTTGATGATTATTATGATAAAACTTATCCTGACTTCATACCATTACGTGCTAAAGTAATAATTCGTATTTGTTTTCTCTTTTTTTTTTATTATTTATTTATTTATTTAGTGCAAAGAAATCCTACAAGAAGAAGAAGATCTTTCGGATATAGTACAACTTGTTGGTAAAGCTTCATTAGCTGAAACAGACAAAATAACACTCGAAGTAGCACGAATCATAAAAGATGATTTTCTTCAACAAAATGGTTATTCATCATATGATAAGTAAGAATATATATATATATGAGTTATAATTGTATTGTTTACTTTAAAGATACTGTCCATTCTACAAATGTGTTGTAATGCTTCGTAATATTATTGGATTTTATGATATGGCTCGACATGCTGTTGAAACAACAGCTCAATCAGAAAAGAAAATTACATGGAATGATATTCGAACAAATCTTGGTACTATTCTTCATGAATTAAGTAGTATGAAATTTCAGGTAAATTGAATTAATCATTTATTTTCAACGAAATATTTTTATCGTTATTTTTGATTAATTTAGGATCCAACTAAGGATAGTGAAGAGAAAATCAAACGTACTCTCGATGAACTTCATGAACGTATGCAAACAGCCTTTCGAGATCTAGAAGAAAGTTAATTGTCTTACTTATATGATACTTATTAACATTCTATGTTGTTACATTCCGTTTATCCTTTTATTTAATCATAGACATAACCTTGTGTATTCAATTCTAGTTTTTAATTTTATTATTTTCACTCATAAAATAAGAACAAGACAATTCTGTATTCCAGTACTTTTTTTTATGTATCTTCCTTTATATTTATTTCTATGTCGTAATTATGTGCAATAGCATCCATTTTTCTCTATCGTAAATTGTACTGACAAAAATATTTTCTTCATCTATATTGATTATTTTAACAAAAAAAACCCACTGATGGTAAATAACTATTTTATGTTTTATTCGATATTAAGATAAAATAACTAATTTGAAAATGTTCTTTACCTTTCCTTTTTCATTTTAAGATATGAGTCAATTAGTTGAACGTAAAGGTTTTAAAATTGAATCAACTTTACCACAAAAAAAGAAGACAAAAGACAAAAAAGCTAAACCAAAAGTTATTGAACATGTACAAATTATTGATGATGATGCACCAATACCATGGCATACAGTAACAGAAACGGCTCCTATACATGAACAAGAAATTATTTCAGTTGAAGATGCACCTATTGTTGTTGGTATGATCAATACGTTTTTTTGTTTGTAAGTTTAATATAAAATTTGTTTGATTTATTTGTTTAGGTATCATTGATGAACGTCCATCTGACGTCCGTGAAAAAGAACGATTTGAAAATATGAAACGATGGCGTACCGGAGGTTTTGAAACAATACCTGAACCTGGCAGTGTTGGACCTCAAACAAAACCAGGAAAATCTAGTTCATCATCCAAATCTCGTCAAAAACGAAATGAATCTGATGATAGTGATCCTGAAATTGATAGACGTCAATCACGAGCAAATGGTAGTCCTGATTTATCACCACCACGCCGTAAAAATCAACATAACAATAATAATGATGATCCTTCACCTCTCAGAAGAAGACGTCAATCAGATGACGATCCTAGTCCACCAAGACGAAGAAAACATGATGATTCTTCACCTCCACGAAAACGATTACCGCAAGTAGATAATGATTCCAGTCCACCAAGACGAGGTGATTCTTCACATTCTCAACGAAAACATAAACATAGTAATGATCCAAGTCCACCAAGGCGGCGTGATTCATCTCCACCTCGAAAACGTCAAACAAAAGATGATGATCCAAGTCCACCCAGACGGCGTGATCCATCACCACCTCGAAAGCGACAA